TCGGTGGAAAGTTAAAAATGATCTGTTATATGTCATCTGCAATGAAAAATCTCTGCCTATTGTAAATCTAGAGAATAAATATGATTAAGAAATATTTTGATACGGACGTTTTCTTTCAATTTTTTAATGAAGGTTCCGAATAACAGCAGGGCTGTTTGACTTAGTTGCATAATTAGGCAGAGGCTTGAACGTAGATAATATTGTGGTAAACTTCAGCAATGCTTTGAAACTATTTCGCGCTGAATTAGTGCTTGATGATCAACACAGTAATTGAGTTTGTGTCACGATAAAGTCAGTCGTAATGAAGCTTACGTAAGTTGAAATGTGAATCTGATTGTGCGATCGTTTGGGAATGATGATTCTGTCTAGCGCACGCCTGGAACTCGGCGACATCACACATCATAACGTCAAGCAGTTGAAGCGCATAAACCAAATAGTTTTCCCAGTTAGCTACAATGATCGTTTCTACAAGGACATTCTCGAAGCCAACCAATTGGCGAAATTTGGTAAGGCTGGTACTGGCAAATTACTTACTTAATATTTTCTGTCCTAACTCGGTTTTTCTTGTTCGTCTAACGCTTAAGGTTCAGCAGAAAGGCTAGGGACTGAATTTTAAAGGTGGTTGTTTCGTGTAATAAGGTTAATACTCGTACAGTGCGTATACTTTAAAGTGCAGTGTCTAAAGGCATATTTGATCCATTTCAATTATATGCTTGAATCATGGGCTTTCTATTTCAGCCTATTTCAATGACATCGTCGTTGGGGCGGTCTGTTGCCGCGTTAGTGTTACCGATGGTCATCGAAAGATGTACATAATGACGTTAGGTTGCCTTCCAGCGTACAGAAGACTGGGATTAGGTTTGTATTTTTATTTTGTTTAATTTTTTATATGGTTTTGTGCTGCAGTTTTCGAATATGAGTGCACTGCGTTCTGCTACGACAGTTGTCCTTAACCCACCCACCGAGGCTAAAGGTTTCATTAATTTCATTAATTTCATCTTGTGCTCTGGTCGCGACCTTATAAACGACCGAGACAGGCGAAAATTTGGCGGGAAACATGCAGCTTAAAAGATGTGTGGAAATTATAGAATGCTGTGTTTGTAGAGAAATGAAGTTCTGTTTTTGTGATTGACAAGGATTCGTGAAAAGATGAAACGGTTGATTGTAGAGCCCATTAAATTGGGTGACCCAGAAAATAGGATTTGAAAGAAGTACTGTATTGAACAAACCTTCCTGCCGTGATGGATTATGGTATTTAATTATAGCGGATATTATACTTATCACTTTTCTAACATTAATCGTGGGATTGCGCAAAACCCGAAAGTGTCTGTAGTACTGACCGAGATGTCAAATCTAGCACATCGTGGGTACCGTTTTTCTTAATAATGATTTCAGTGAGTGGAGGAGAAGACTATATATAGTGATAATGAGCAGGAACACAACGGAACTGATGCGGTAATCTTGGTAATTATGATTTCAACCATTATCATTATAATAATAGCGATGATTATGGCGACAGTGTTAGTTTTGATGGTCATTACGTCAATAATGCTCCTCATCATAATCATGATTATGATTATAATCTGGACCTAGAGATTAGTGATTGTAATAATTTCTTTTACTGCGAAGACAACCTTGATGGTAATGATAATCTCGGTCGTATTAATTATCAAAACCACCAGTACCATCATGATTATGATGTGATTATCATCAAGATATGAAAGCACTGATTAGTGATTGTAGTAATTCTTATTATGATTCTCATCATGCTCGCCTTCACCACACTAAGGATTGTTGCAATCACTAATCTGCATTCGTTTCATGATGGTAGCCGCGTTATCATCATAACGGCAAGCGTTTTTTTGATTTTGTATTTACAAGGCACCTTGTACTGATTTCGTAACACATCACGTGTGTTATGGAGCTGTAGAGCTTGCATGTGACAGCGTGGCCATTCTGATATAATCGTACCAGAATACCGTGTTGTTTGTGTTGTTTGCAGATCATCAATTTGCTACCCGTTTTCCGAGGGAAGTGAATTGTGTAGGAGGAGTAAGTTTCTTGCTGAAGGCAGTTTGGAGTTAAAAGAATTTTACATTGCTATATTTGATTCCGCACCTATGACGCGCAAGGCCGAATAAAATTCAGTAATCGGTTCCCATTGAAATAATGATCAAGACGTTCACTTTAATCTGCTTTGTTCAGGTATCGATTAATTTGGACTGAATTTGCTAGTTTACCGTTTCAAAAAATATGGCAGATAGCCTTTTCGAAAAACGAATATCGTCAGTCAATCGTCCGTTTGAACTCTTGGTCTTGATTATCCTTCGATAGATCGTATTTTCTTCTATATTTGGATGTTTATATACCTATGAGTGAATGAGCATTTAGTAACGCCATTGTGGCTAGTTTGTGATCTGGATTTGTATCCTTGGCCACTGAAATTTGCTACCATTGACAAATGGTGGATTGTCTTTAGAACGAAGGTTTAGGTTTTTCGATTTCGAAACACTGTTAACTTCAACTTTCTATGATCCTATCAGCAACATCGTTACCAGAATCTCTTTAAAATCTGACTCAAAATAGACAATATCCGTTGCTTTCTATTACATTGTTACTTGATTTTTTAATTTAATTTTAGTTTATGGATTAAATTGAAACCTGTGTTTACTTGTTTGTCTTTGCAGGTACTCTTATGCTCCAGCATGTGTTCAAGCTGTGCGAGCAGGATGAAAGCATCGAAAGCATTTTCTTGTAAGTGTCAGACTTGTGATGTATTGCAGCATAGCGTCGTTCGTAATAACGGTGAATTATGCGTGTGGGGTAGCGTACAATATACTGCATTGTACTTTATAGTGGAATAGGCACAGTTTACTACGTTTACCTTACTGTAACTTTCCTGTATATACTATAAAATGCTGTGGAAGTTTTCTGAACTGCAGCACTGTGAACCTTATTGATTACATCAACAGTTGATTGATCCTTCTTTGTAACTAACGAAAATCAGTAATTAACTAACTGAACTACTATATAATGCCGATGCCCACGCTCGTCTGTCTCATGCGATTTGTCAACACAAGCTTCCATATCGCTCTTTTAGCTCATCGTCTCATCCGAGCTAATGTTTTCTAGTCGGGCGTTTACAGCCCCAGACTGACATAACTGAAATTCGGTGATCTTCCGTGAGTCGTGTGTGATAATTTGACTCGAATTGTACGCGGGGAACTGAGGATCGTTTTTAAGCGTTTCATTTCATTCGAATTTTGTAAATGGTTTTGGCTACTGTTTATGCCTGCCAGGCGTCCTGGACAGAACGACTGTAGACCGTATAATGACAATAATATTCTCTCTTCCTTTGGATGAAGATACGATTTTGGATAATATGATGAACAGTGTTATTATATCTGATTTTTTTCCTTAGTCATCCAGGCGAATGAAACTTGTAGATTGGGGTTGTCCAGTCGGTGGAGGGCAGACTTAACCGAAAGGACCAGGGTTCGATCTCCGATAGGGTCATTACTGTTTTTTCGCTCGAGGTTGTTGACCCTGCTATTAAAATGAGACACTCTTAACTGATGGCACAGAAATAGTGGTCAGAGTTTCACCAATAATTTCATGAAAAAGGGTGCCAGAAATGACACTGGCATAAAAATGTAAAAAGACCGACATTCCAACGGTTACTAACTTTTCTTTCCTTTCCTTTTATTTTTGTGTATTCTATCCTAAATTATTTCAATCCTACGTTTCTCTAGCTCTAGCCCTCATCGTCAATTCGTATTGCAGGCATCATGATGGAAATATTTGCCAGGGCTTTTTTGTAAACTATAGTAGATGATCATTCACAGTTTGCCCGTTCAGTTTTGTAGCGAAATTCGTCGTTAACCTCTCTTGTCATTGTAATTTTCGCCGGCCTGTTCAAAATATTTACGATGCTCGTGACGAAGGAAGATAAATATCCTGCACTCTACTTCGCCAAACGTGCGATCCCGGTTGCTTTATTCTTTGCGGCGATGAGAGGAAAGGCTTAAATCTCATGTTGTTATCACAGAACAAAGCCAAATAAGTTTTGTCCAAAACGACGGCATGGAACGACTGAATTTGTTATTTGATATGTCTCTGGTACATGAATAATTTATTTTCTATTTTAATCGGCGGTACTTTTCGTTTTGTTTTGATTTTTATCACATTGAAGTATTTTTAGTTTTTAATGTAATTAATTCTCAAATGACCATTATTTTTTTATTGTTATGTTTGTCTTGTTTTAATTGCGATCCATAAATTACACGAGTAGTACATATCATCTAGTCAATTTGAACCACTTACCAAGGGTTAGGGAGTTGTTACATTTTGTTATATTTATTTAGTTTTTATTTTATGGTTTAAGGGCACTGTGTATTACTCTTTCGTACTTATCTTCTCTCTTTCAGTTTATACCCTGTTGATAAACAGTGGGTTCATTGTCTAGAACAATGGCTTCTGAATAGAATCTTTTATGCTTATAGCCATTCAATCGGTAGATTTCTTTTTTAATGAATATTTCTTTGCAATCAGTTTATATGGCAGTGATTCATAAGGAACGAAAGCTAAGACGCATTACATAGACAGGGTCGGTTACATCAGTTTTTTGTGTTACGATTTTATTTACTGTTTTGTTTCATGTCTGAAGTTCAAGGGTATAACAGGTAGTGCATGCAAAGTGTTCGTCCTGCACTTCGAATCTTTGACTCTACGTCTATGCATTTTAGACACGTGCAGATCAACAACGAAGGCGCGCTGGAATTTTACAAGAAGTTCGATTTCAAAGTGGTCGAAATGGCACATAATTACTACAAGCGTATCGAGCCGGCCGACGCGTACGTTTTGGAGAAACGGCTTCATGAGCCCGTCATCGTAACGGACAAAACGAAAGACGTGAAACTTTGATTGTGTTTCATTTGGCCACTGATGCTGATGCGCAGGTTCCTTTCGTAAGACTAGTTCGCCGTCTCACGCAGACGCCATTTCGTCAGTGTGTTTTTAATGCATTTCCGCTCGCAGTTCGCATTGACCTTACCTGACTTGCATAAAAACGTACAGTCAGTCAGTTTCGATGACCGCTTATCGTTTCGGTTCGCTGACGCAGACACGTCATACGTGTCTCCAAATTCTCTTATTTTTTACCAGCGTTTAGGCTTCGACAGCAGAGAAACCATCCGAATCTGGTGCAAAGTCTGTCGAGATGCTTTACCAAGGTCGTTTTTGACCATCCGGTTTTCGACCTATCGGATGGGCAAGTGTCAGCTGTTTCGTCTTCCTTTCTGGAAGTATTCGCAAAGAGTGCCCAAACAGAACAAATAAAGAAGCAGATGATTTAATGCTATCATTGACGAAAATGGTTAATGATGCCCCTGATTGCTTGTCACTTTTCGGCAAACAGTATGCAAAATGTGTTTATGATGTTTTGTCTAACTTTAAGCTCTAGTAACGAATGTACACATGAAAACAAACTATAGGTGAAATAACTATGGACAATGATAAATATCGATAACTTAACGCGCAGATAACGTATCATACGACGACATAAATATCGATAGTTTTTACGACATGAAATGAACCTTTTGAACTTAATCAACCTTTAGTGGAAAAAGTTTTTTTTACCAGTTTTTCCATTCGATGAAAACCTCTAGTCGATGAATGACTCATGCGCGAATTGCGTCTTTTATTAGGACTCAAAGTTAGGTCTTTTGGTTTAGATGATTACGCAGGTCCTACGAAACTAAAGTAGTCCAGACGGGACAAGTCTATCAGGTGAAATGACACTGCAAGGTGCCCTTCCCCTGACTTTTCAAATCGTCTGGTAAGAGATCATGCAACTGTTTCCGCATATTTGACATGGTTTTACTATGTCCAGTTTAAGTTATGAACGAAGTTTGCTAGTTTTCAGAATGACTTTCAACAGCAGGTAATCGATTATGAATGGTTTACTAGGACCACATAGGATTAATTTATGAGTACAGTTTGAAACATATACAAGAGATTAGCAACATAATCTTGTCATAATCATAACAAGACGAATAAGAAACACGGTCAATCATTATTAAGCAATGAATATATTGAGAAGCCACGAAACCGGTGGTTAATCGAAAGCATGTCATCAGAAGAAATCGAGTAAATCTGGGGTCGTATGAAAAATAAGGGGTTCGGCTCAAACGGAATCACCATGGACGGCAGTGGTATTGGAATAAAATAGGAATAAAATTTTGATTCCACTACGCAGCAAAAAAGGGAATATGCATGATTATGAAAATTTTTGCGAAATTTAGTTCCTCGGTCATATCCTAAAATACGTGTGTGAGTGAATGTTGTGGAAATGTCTAAAGAAAGGGGTTGATATCGTCAAAAAACAGTCTCTTTGTGCTAAGCAATCAGTAAAAGCCGTCTTTTCACTAAGATCGGCCTTTGAAACCGCCGAATATGAAAAAAGACACCTTGATTTGGAAAAGGTTTAAAACATAGTACAGCGGCGGATGCTAGGGTGGAGTTAACTCTGGGAATTTTTTTTTGGGGGGGGCATATTACGCTTTCATGGATTATATGATGCAAATATAAGGATAGTTTGAAACATGTGCGATGAAAAGAAAATCTCCTATTCAAGTAGGGGCCACTAGGAGTCAACGCTGTGTCAGTTTTTGTTCCCGATCGATAATGATAGACACGTCATTTTTTCATGCACTGCAATTGATATGGTAAAGTGTTGTAAATAAGGAGGAGTAGAAGCAGAAACCGAACGTGGAGAACAGTTGTTGAAA